CTATTTATTTCAGAACCCCCTTCCCCTCCCCCAATTCTGATGAAGGGTCTAGGCCCGAAAAGCCAGCCTTCCTGCTCCTGTGATGCTGCTTGGCCTGCTGTGTTCATCCAGCTCTGCACCTTGTCATCTCAGATTCTCCAGCATCTGCAGTTCCTACTATTTCTGATACATTTCTTTCTTGAGTTGCCTGTTAGAATATATTTAACTTTGGCTTTTAATGTTAAATTTTACAGATGTTGACAAAGAAACTGGTATGTGGAGCATAATTATCTATGAAAAAAGCTATCATTGTGCTCTTTCTAAAACACTAGTTATACCCACCAGTGAGGGACAGATGCTTCTTCCAGACTGCTCTTGGCAAGTTTGAAGAACATTATGTGATTAGGATCTCATGGGAGCATTTCAATTTAAAATAAGATTCTTACTTGAAAGAAAACTGGAATGGACAACGTGAAGAGTTGCAGATGTGCTTGGAGGAGGTAAAGCAAAGACAAAGTGAAATAAAAGAGATTATTTCTCCAAAGAGTCTTTTGTAATTATGTAAAAAGACAGCATGTGTATACATGGATGTATTTCATATGTCTGTGCCTTTATGTGTTTGTTTTGTTTAGTTCGTCCTCATTTATATTACAGAGCTACTTCAAGTAGTAATTCTATAATTGACTTGGCTGTGGCAATTTGCCCATTCATTCTGTACGGCAGATTCAACATCACTAGCAGCAAAAGACAAACAGCTGTGGTTAGCATGTCCACATTTGCTTGCAGACTGCAATTTGCAATTCGCCTTTCCAACTTTCATTTTGCAGCAAAGTCCTGAAACCACATCTGAGTCAATGCAGCCAGGAAAATGCCGTCCGACTGAGCAACCATTTCCAGTTCTAGTTTGCTACAGCAGCCTCTGAAGGTGGGGGGTGGAGGGGACTCAATCACATCTTCATGTGACTTCTAGGCTCCTACAGAGGCAGCAGTGTTGGCCGATTTACCTCATGCTCTGACAGCGCTGTGAAGTAAATACAGCATTAGAGAATTTGAAGTAGTCAATGCGGCTGAATGGAATTTTGCCAACAGTATGAATCATACTGTGGAGTGGAGGGGAAAGGCTGGTAGTATTTTTCTTCTGTGTCTTAACTATTTTAATTTAAACTGAGTATTGCTCATACCTCTGGGCATGGAAACAGTAAGGACTGCTGATGCTGCAAGCCAGAGTCAATAGATGTGAAACGGGAAAAGCACAGCAGGTCAGACAGCATCTGAGGAGCAGGAAAGTCAATGTTTTGAGCCGAAACGCTTCCTGAGGGCACCCTTCCTGAGAAACTACTGGGCCTGATTGTATGAGGAAAGTGATATAACATAAGAGGACATATCAACTGATCTTGCCTCACAGGTTATGCAGATTTTTAATCTTCCCCAAGACTCAGTAGAGTTACTCACATGGTGTTGACAGCACTTGCTGCTTGAACAAAAGTATTGATTAAAACAGCTCAGTTACAGTTATACAGACCAGGGACCTTGTGCTGTTCTACTCCATGCCAAGTGAGCCACTTGCAGGAGACAAGGTGGAACAGAAAACTGGCCGAAAATAAAGAGATACTGAATATTAAAATCACTTTAAAAGTGAAAAAGCGATGAATATCTATCCGTTTTCATTATCACCAGTGTTGGGGCAATGAATTGGCGGAAAACCTGCTGGGTTTGGGAGGTGAAACTCAGGGATGATTGGCGCTCCTGACCAAAACAAAATCTACTGAAGGTAGGGTCAGTCTTGGCAGCAATAGTGGCTTTTGTCAAATTAACTGGCAGCAAATCAATGTGTGGCCTAATTCAGGGAGAACAGTCACTTCAGTAAGGTAATGGAAGATCCCTGAGCCTGTGGATCTCTAGCAGCAGTTAACATCCTCCGAAAAGGAACGAGCATAATTAGTGACTTTTT